AAAAAAACTAGTCCTTCACCGCAATACATATATATTATTTAATTTTTGTTGGCTAAATTTTGATCTCTAACTAATTAGTTTGAAGTTGATCAGACTGAAACATGATGGATTCAAAAGAGTCTTCGTAATATCCAAAGACAATACCATGCTCCTCTGCAAAGCTGCTCGAATCTTGAATGTCGAAGGATGTCTGGATATGATCTGGAAAGCAAGTAGTCCTGGGCCTGGGTGGGCCGGATGAGGTAGATGATGGGCTGGAGCAGAAAGTGGGCCCCACACCAACACCTGGTGCTGATGTGGCTGTCTCGAGCTCGACTCTATCTGTAGGGGAGTTTGTAGGGTTGTTATCAAGAGAGTTGATATAACGACTCATGTCAAAGTTGGTGACGGCGTTAAGTCCTCGATATTCTATAGCTGCTATATCGTATGCAGTGGCCGCTTCTTCCTCAGTAGCTGCAAACCGAAGGATATTAATTAATAGTTAATTAAAAGCTTTATATGAATAAAGTACCAAGTAAAGACTGCTTTATTTATGGCTAAACAAACAATTAATTAAATATGGGATAAAAAAGCAAGAGTAGAATGCATGTTCTGTTCAGGGCAGAAGAAATAAATAAAACACAAATTCATGTTCGAGACATCTTAAAACATACTCGTACGATATTTTATTAATTGATGGCCAAAGCAAATTTGAAAGCTTTTTATTATAAATGATCAATTTAATTTGAACTGCATCATATTCGGTCCGACTCCACTTGTTAACATGCTCTTTATAGAAAATTTGGAGTGGAACCTTATACATTGGTAGTTAGGGAAACTCTATGCATATATAATAAACCAGCCAACAACACTTGCTAGCTTATTTATTTATTTATTTATTATTATTATTATTCAATATCCGACTAATTCTATATTTATAGTATTTTAAAACTTTTTGAGAAATTTATAATTAGTTCACTTATTATTTAATTTAAAATTTTTTATAGAATAAATATTTTATTTTTACTTGTCACTTATTGGTGTAGACATATCTATTATTATTATTATTATTATTATTATTATTATTATTATTATTATTATTATTATTATTATTATTAGATATCTTAGAGAATAAGTTATGAATTGTTTATTATTTAATAAGAGCTCTTGTTTTGTTGGACAAGTTAGGTCTAGGGTTATGAGCCTTATATAAAGGACTCCCTCTAGTTTATTTTCATTAGTTGATTATTGAATGAAAATGAGATTGTGAGTTTTATCGAGAGAGAATCTTGTTTGTTTATCTTTCTCATTCGTATGCTTCCCTACATCAGTTGATACCAGCAGTCAGTACGATTCGCGATGTCGCCGGGACGAGAAGATGCCGCAGACGAACCACGTGACGCAACCTTCAACGATCGGTTTCAACAGATCGACTACCGATTTGAACAATTGGACGTGTGTTTCACAGATTGGTTTGCCGATCTTTCGACGGGGATCGAGGATGTGCATTTGACGCTTAACAACGTGATTGTTTCGGAATTGCAGACGAACCGCGATGGGGCTATGGGCCGTTGCTTTCGCGGGGGAGACAGAGGCGGCTGTGGGGGACGCAACCATGTCGGGGCGCTCCGACAGCGATCCCCACCACCTCTGAACGACATCAAGGATGGTGACTTTACCTGGTCGGCTAACCCGTTGGCAGATCGACCACCATGGCGAGGAGACGAAACCACAGGTCAGCCCCGAGTTTGCGAGCAGCGGCGGGCTGGAGGTAGTTTCATACATGGAGGCGACCGCGACGACGAGAAAACCCTAGGTGCGGTCCGATTTCGCAACAAGCAGCGGCCGGAGGAGGGTTTTGCGTACCAAATTTCGCCCAATCGCGCAGCCCTAGGCAGCGATTTTCGGCGACCTGCAGCAGGTGGAGGGTCGCACGGAACCCTAGACGGTGATTTCTGTCGAGCGAATGAAGGCAAGGACAGAGCGCGCAGGTGGCCGCAGGAGGGGCTTCGAATCGTTGCCGGCGGCAGCGACTTCCTTTGCCGCGAGGCGTGTTGGGCCGCTGAGGGCTTTTCCACGACCGACGAGCTCGATTGGTGGCAGCACCCAACCGGTTTTAGCGACAATGGAGGCCGCGAGGCGCGGCGGGGCCAACGCTGGGCAGCGACGGATTTTGCTGAATCTGGTTTTTGCGACCGGCGGCGCGCTACCGTAGGTGTCGCTGGTGACAGCGTCGTGATGCATGGCGAGGCAGCGAGAACGAGATTGGGAATGGCGGTGCTCAATTTCTTGGATTGAGCAAAGATCCAGTACAGGTACAGCGGGCTGGGAGCTTTGGAGGCGGATTTTGGGCGTGTGAAATAGACGACTCCAATCGCACTTCTGGGCCTCACAAAAGCATTTTTTGGACTTGTGAGGGTGATGTCGTTTTTGGGCCTGCGCAGGGACAACCCAATTCAATTTATTGGGCTCAGGGGAAGGATGGATTTAATCCTTATTTTGGGCCTGGACAGCCACAAACAGGCTTTGACTTCGAGTATATAGATTCCCTGAATTTTGAGCCCGACACATGCGATATCTACGACGGTCTGCCAATTTTTTATGAAGAGCCTCCGATGATGAAGACATATTTTTGCAGTAATATGGGTCCCGCGTGGGACGTCGCAACGGTTGAGTCTTCGAATGGGCAGCCGTCATTCACACCCGATTTTTTGAGTATTTTGGCCAAAGATGGTTTTTCGGAGCCAAAGCCGAGACTCCATAACTGGTGGGCCATTTTTCGATTGTTGTTCCCGAAGTCTCCCAACACCGGGATGTTTGGCCGTAGTTATAGATTTATGCGCAGTGAACGAGGTGGTCTGTTTTGTGTTCTTTCGGTTGTGTGGGCTTTGCGTCGGGTGTCGTGTACATGTGACTTTGCGGCAGTTGAATCCTTGACCGAGATTATGTTTACCTTCAAGATTGTTGGACGACTTTCAACTTTCGTGTTCAATCGGGGGAAACGTTCGGGCTGTTGCTGTCTTGAGGACGTCTCCAACGGGAACGGGTCGGATTCGAGGGCGAATCCTGCTCAACCGGGGGAGAATGGTGTAGACATATCTATTATTATTATTATTATTATTATTATTATTATTATTATTATTATTATTAGATATCTTAGAGAATAAGTTATGAATTGTTTAATATTTAATAAGAGCTCTTGTTTTGTTGGACAAGTTAGGTCTAGGGTTATGAGCCTTATATAAAGGACTCTCTCTACTTTATTTTCATTAGTTAATTATTGAATGAAAATGAGATTGTAGTTTTATCGAGAGAGTATCTCGTTTTTTTATCTTTCTCATTCGTACGCTTCCCTACATCACTTATTCAGCATTTATCTTTTTAGCATAATTCAAACATGTCCGAAAAATTTGTATATTCCAATTTGACAAAGTTCATTCGCCCTGAATTGTCCAACTTACCAACTAAAATAACTATAATCATTTGGCAATATTGAAGGTGACAATTATTTTGAAGAAGGTCTCCTGACACCTGACTGTTAATTATTTGATAATTTTGATTATTTGATATGGTTGTGATATCTAATTGGTTGTTTTTGTACGTGGCCAATTTTTTGGTGTTTTGTGTTGACTAAACCCTCCACGTTTGGATGTCTATCCAGCAATATTCAACTATATCAACATGTATCTGTACCATCATTGAACAAAATAAAAATTTAAATTTTGAATACAAACAAGCAATGGCATTGACATACCATAAGTTCCCAGATAGAGATATTTGTTGCCAAAGACCCTTCCAATACGAGCTTCCCATCTTCCATTATGATGATGCCTGTGCATAAAATAGTGCCAAATTTACTTGGAATAGCAATTGCTCTAACTAATTTCTTGATTTTGCTCTATAGTTTTGGTCTGAGTAATTTAGTTATTTCCAAATAAATCATTCATTACCTGGCCACTCCTCTGTACTTTGATACTCCTCGAGAAAAACCACTGCTTTTCCTGCAATTTTATATCAGATGAGAAGCTAGTTTTTTAATATAAAGTTCGTGTGCATAAAACAATATACACATTAAATTTAGGGGTGATTAATTAGGAACTGATTATATAGACTAGATGAACTAAAAAGAAGTTCTTGTTTAGTTTTTATGTTTGTCGAGCTAACTATTAAACCGATTTTTTATTTTATGAATATGCATAATTTTATCAAATTATGTCATGTCATACTTTAGAAAATAATGTAAATAAAATTATCATTAATAATATAAATATAAATATTGTTCAGTGAATATATATGTACAAAGAATATTTAATAGTATAAATATAAATTTATATTTAATAGAATAAATATAAATTCTGAGCTGTTCCACCCGACAACTAGATTGTGTCGTGCAAAAATTTATGTACAAAGAATATCTTTTAAAATCGCAACATATAAATTAATGCAATAAACCATGTTTGGATTCTAAAATTTATGTCAGCATGGGGCCCCCATTAATATAATAGTCTAATTAAATTTGTATATACGTGTGCATTCATTCAAGTCCAATGCAGAAAATGAACATTTAATAGGTAGCAATTTGGTCTTAGTTTTTTATTATACGTCTCAAATGCAAGAAATTATACATCAAAAAATTTCAATGTTACCACCTTGACTTAATTACCTACCAAAAAAAATAAATTACCTTCTTAATGAACCAATGTACTCTTCCTTTGATTGGCCATTCATTTCAACAAGCTCTTTCCGATAAGTAGTAAGCTATAACAAGAAATCACTAATCGGATTAAAAAATAAATTCATAACATTAATTAATCATAGAAAATTATAATAGAAAACATAATTGCTTAATTAATTTACAGGAAAATTGGTAATGGTCTCTTGCCCCCAATATTTCAGTGCGGCTAAGTCATATGCATGTGCAGCTGCTTCTTCGTCATCGTAGGCCCCTAAAAATAATAATAATAATAATAATAAATCAAATTGCAAGAGAGTTAATTGGATAAGATCCACTCAATAGTTTCAAAAAGACAATAATGAAAGTTTTATATTTGTGATATTAATTATTTCCCATTTTCCATTTTGAGCCATTGATCAAAAGTGAAGTGGTCAAAGTACGTACCAAGATACACTGCTTTTCAGTAGGAAGGATCCCACCACAGCACAACCACCATTGACATAATACACATTGAGCAAAGAAATAAAAAAGGGATCAAACACTATTATTAGTAATTTGTTGCAATTACAATTATTGATAATGTTAATAATCCCTGATGATATGTAATTTCGTTAACCACAGATATATTAGAGTAAAAATAATAAAATCCAAGAAAAAAGAAATATATATATATAGTGAAAATAATAGTAATAATTACTTTAATCAATAAGAAATTGATGATCACCTTGCTTTCCTTTCTTGTTCTTGTTCTCACTCCAACAATTCTTGTCCCATAAATGAGCTTCATATCGACCTGTCCAACGGTGCCTGATAATGAAATTAATCCTTAGATATGAATATGATACCACTTTTCCTAATAATGAAAGTAATCCTTAGATACGGTATTACTTTTCCTAATAATGAAATTCGAATCAAAATAAAAAAAAAAAGTAAAAAAATAAATAAAAATTCACGATCCATGCACAAGAAAAATGCAAAAAAATAGCTAGATTTACCGAGTAACACCCCTGTAAACGGAGCTACGTTGTGGAGGTGATTTTTCGGGTTTTCTTTTCCGATTTCTATTTGTTTTGAGGATATTATCGACATCATCATCATCGTTGTTGTTATTATTGTTCTTGTTTTTGCTGTCCTTTTTTTTCCTCAAAGGTCTCATCACCATGAAAAACCTCACACTTCAAAAAGAAGGAAATTAAAAAGAGAAAGAGCTCTCAAATGTTACACTTTGTAAGAGAGTTTATTTTTTGAGGTGTATATAGTGTAAGAAGAGCCTGATTATAAGTGATAACCCTAATTGTGAGGGAAAAATTAACGCCAATAAATAAAAAAGAAAAAGACGAAGTCCAATGAGAAAATGGAGGGGGGATTATATAAAAAAGGGTAGGCAAACGGTAAAGTTTGGAGAAAATTAAATGAAAGAGATGGGGATGCAAGCCGGCTTAGGAAAAGGTTGTTTTTTTTTCGTGGGTGCATTTAGAGGCCGTCTTAGAAGTTGCTACTTGCTATCTTAATGGTGTGTGACTGTGTGTTATTTTGTCTACTTGTATTGAGTTTTTGATTGCATATAGATATTATTATATATTGTGTTTATATAGAACAATTTATACAACTAACTAATTGACACTTTCTAGAAACGTATTTTTACATATTTTATTAAGTACACTTATTATAGTATATATATATATATATATGACATACACACAATTCGTGCATAACTTGTGCGAACAATCGGTTTTGAATCGAAGTATAGCAATGTGCAGGATTTGCGGTATTTTTGTTTATATTACATTTCCTTCCACTTATTTTTATTAGGAACAGTTTATAGAAAATGTCACAATGTATCTTGGCCTTTGCGAAATTATGAACCTTAAACTTTTATGATGATGTGTGACATTTACTGTAAAATTGCAACCTTTAATCGTTTACGATCAAAACATACGACCCACAATGACTAATATTATGATCAAGGATTTTTACAAATCACACACAAAAAAAAAAAATAAATAAATAAAATAAAATTAAAAAAAATAAAAATAAAAAATATTTTTGCATATTTATTATTTTTATTTATACCTCAATGTCTTAGTGAAGTAGATAGTCATAGTTCAATAAGAGAAATCTAATTTAATGTTTGCAAGTACAAGTAGCCAATCAAAACTACCGACCATTGAAAGCGGAGACGGGTAGCATGTAGGTGCGTAATATATGCGTCAAATGTGATATGGAAAATAATAACTCAAAGAAATAAAAATATACACGGACCATTATAATTGATTTTGTATGTCCTTGTAGTCATTTTAAAGATTACCCAAAACATATATTTTGACATTGGTTAGAATTATATTAGGTAAATGACTTAAGTAATATTTATACAGTAAACTGTTAAGATTTTTATTTTTGTTATATTAAATTTTGTAAATAGCCTTCAATAAACTTTATAAAAATTTCTTAAGTTATTATTATTATTAGAAAATTATCTTACAATATCATATCAACCATGTACTAAACATGTTAGGTCATATCGTATCTATTCTAGAGTTGTAAAATCAACCTTATATTCATGGACGGTGGCATGATTAGTCTTTTATTTATTTAATTATTTAAATTTTTAAGGCGTTTGGACACCCTTCTTCTCAAGTCTCTATCATTTGTTAGTGCTTCTTGCATGTATACCGTGTCTATTCCAAGTTAAATGAATAAAAGAATAACAACGTTTTGCTTACTTGTAGTGAAGTATTCTACTAAATATTGTTCAAAATTTATGAGGTATACGTAGTAATAGTATAAGGATTCAATGTCCAAATCAGCAGTGATTTCATGAATGTTAATGTCATGAGCTAAATTATATTTTTTACTAATGCTTTGAGATAAGTTATATTTTGTCCAATATACTTCATCATTTGGAAGTGAAGAGACATAAGAAGAGAGAAATAAATGAAACATAAACTCAATATAATAAGATCAATCGACTACTTACCCAACTAACTCATAAATATAAGTAAAATAGTATATTAGTTAATGCATTGATGTTGATGGAATTTGGCCACCTTCCAAGTTCCAACTATCTTAAGTTGTCATTGTTGCTATAGGTGCAAGCACCACCAAGCAGAGTAAACATTTTCCTAGTATACATTTGCAAATTGAATTGACATGAAGAGATAATCTATATGATTATTTCATTGAGTTTAAACCTAGAAAGGCAAAAATCATCTTAGGTCATGCTTTAATTGGTTCAAGCAAAAGTACTTTTAACTAAGAAATGGCCAGTATCAAGAAAATTCATCAAGAAAATATGATTGTCATACATAGTATGAAAGCATGGAACTTGTAATTTTGACTGTCATTTTGTATGTTTTTCTAGTTAACAGTCAGGCCGAAGCCGAATCTCAGGGTACTTTTGCAATTAACACATGCCAAAAGCATCTAAATTTATTATCTGCTGAGAATCAAGCCATCTGCATCGCATGCAACAGAACAGGTTTCTTAATTCTGATTATATTTCAAGAAAAATCTAGTTCCTCATCAATGTAAAAAGTTTAATTTAGACAGTAACATACACTAAAATGAGATGAGATGCTATCTTGGTTTGATAAGTTCATGCTTTGTCTTATGTGAATTCAACATATCAATCAAGAACGAACTCTACCATAACTTCCAGGACACCTTTTAAACATTTTTCACGCAACTGTTTGCCTTTAAAGATATCAACCATTTCAAAGTAATTTGAGCTAACAAGTTACAAAACACCGATGCAACAAAACCCCTAGTTCTACAAATGATCATCATCAAGAAATTAATAAAACTTCTCTCAATAAATGCACTACGCACGAAGTGATTCAAAACTTGCAGTTCATATTTCCTTGTGCTCATTCATGGGAACATAAACATACAACACATGTCTACTTCACAGATATTAAGAAATTTGAGAGGCTTATACTTAGAATATAAAGCATTTTTTTCCACAGGCAGAACAAATAGCATGCGGCATGAACCGCATTACCTGTTGTATGCACAAAATGTGCAGATTATGGCATACTTGAATTAGGTTAGAAATGACAGGAATAAAGAACCTGCAGGCACAAAATAAAACATAAATATTTCCAACCTTGACACGATAAATTGTTCCAGGTAAAAGAAGAAAGATGAGTACAAGAAACAAAACTAAAGAGAAGACTTTCTCTGGAAAAGATATATAAATGATAAAGAGTATAATTTCCCGAGCCACTGCAAGAATCTTTTCCACTAGAAATTCAGATGTCTTCAGTTCAACCAGACTTCATTGTTTATCTTAATAACTCCAGTTCAAAATTAAAATTTGATCACATTTTCCAATGATATACTATATAAATCCCATTCAAAAGTGAGAGGCCAGAGACATTCTCCTAAACATGTAATATTCAACATATTGTTCACTATTGAGGTTAAACTATATGCAATGACCAAATAACCAATACAGGTAAGATTAATGGAGGAAAATCCATGGAGGTTTTTAAAGAGAGAAGCAAACCAGATAACGAATGCAGATAAGATTAATGTCATCCACTCCATTGTAGAACTAACTAATTGAAAAACGAAAAAGATGTCGGTTATGCAATATCTGACTTGGACATTGTATCAAACACCTTCAGCTCAATAAAGGTGTACTGAGAATGTTGCAACTTGGAACAGAGTTGAGATCGTAGCTGTCATAGGTGGCTGAGTTCAATTTGGATTGAATAAAAGCAGTATGAAGCTGTAGACGAGATATATTTAGTACTTACACACATGGCCAGGTCAACTATGGGCCGTATCCAAAGAATTGGGCTTACAGGATATCCAATGTGTCCAGCCCAAATTTAACTTCGAACTCAAATGAAATAAATTGCCACGGGTTCCCACAATTTGAAGTTTAAATAAATATAAAATATATATATAAATACATGCTTCTGGTGTAAAATCACTTGTCGCAAAATTGATATGATGTAATCAAATTTAAAGGAAATGAATGAGTTCCAGAATGAAATGATTATAAAAATTGAATGAAATAAGTTTACCATTGTCATGTTTGGTATGATGGAGGACTTGAACTTGAATGAAACAATATTATCACCTGCTTTTCATTATATATATTACGAGAATTTAATTCATTTATATTGATGTTATTTTCTCATTAATTTTAGTGTTACTTTTTGAATCATTTATTTATATAAAAAAAAAAAAAAAATAAAAAAAAAAATAAAACGTGGACAAAAGTAAAACAGACGGATTCTGAAAATCCGTTTTTCCCTAAAAAACGGATTTTCAGAATCCGTTTTTTGTTAATCCCGAAAGAAAAACGGATTTTGATAATCCGTTTTTCATTAATTAATCTCGTTTTTATTTAATCAAGTGATTAACCTTAAATAAATCCGAGTTTGTTTAAAAAACGGATTTTCGCAATCCGTTTTTTCTATTTAATTTTTTTTTTTTTTTTTAAGAAAAACGGATTCTTAGAATCCGTTTTTATGTATTTATTTTTTTTTTT